TTTTGTTTCCACTTTTCTATATAATAAACTCCATCAGACCATTTCGACCCTCTTATACCAAAATCGATCTTAACATTCCTACCCAAAACAAGATAAATGGCACCAGCTCAAAACCCAATCAGTTCGAAACACGTGGCAGTGATCGGAGCCGGAGCAGCTGGTCTTGTAGCGGCCAGGGAGCTCCGTCGTGAAGGTCAGTCCGTTGTAGTCTTTGACCGGGAGAAGCAAGTGGGAGGTCTCTGGATTTACTCACCTAAAACCGATTCCGACCCGCTTAGCCTCGACCCGACCCGATCCATAGTCCACACGAGCCTCTACGAGTCTCTCCGAACCAACATCCCGAGAGAATGTATGGGTTTCACGGACTACCCCTTTGTGCCAAGTGATGACGTTTCAAGAGACCCGAGACGTTATCCGAGTCACAAGGAAGTTCTTGCGTACCTTCAAGACTTTGCTAAAGAGTTTAAGATAGAGAAGATGGTTCGGTTCGAGACCGAGGTGGTTCGGGTTGAACCGGTTAACGGAAAATGGAGTGTCCGGTCTAAAAATTCCGGCGGTTTCTCCGAGGAGGAAATCTTTGACGCAGTCGTTGTTTGCAGTGGTCACTATACAGAGCCTAACCTTGCTCATATTCCTGGTAAAAATCAATTTCATTGATACTTTCAGATTTTTACAAATTTATTTTAAGATAATTCCGATAAGGTTTGGCCATAATCGTAATAATACTACTTTTACGTGTGTTTGTGGCTAAACTGTGAAATTCTTTTGCTCCGATTCCGATCACTTGTTTTTCATATGAACCTAAACGTTCTGAAGATCGATCCAGATTTGCTTTAAATAAAAGAGTCAATTTTGTTATCAAACTAATTAATTAATTAAGTTGTCAAAAAGTTGCCAAATTATATTTGTTTTTAATTGTATAGGGATAGAATCATGGCCTGGAAAACAAATTCATAGTCACAATTACCGAGTTCCTGATCCATTCAAAGATGAGGTAATCCAAAATTTCTTTGATTCTTTTTTTTTTTTTACTTTCGATTTTGAATCAATGTGAACTCGAGTTTATTAATGGACAATAGTACCAACAACCAATCTTAAGTGGGGGGGGGGGGGGTTGTAATCGCCGAC